AAAGAGCATCAATATCACTGCACCACCACCCTGCATGTTGCCCAGTCCCATGGGCCCATTCCCATGGCAACCTACCTTCTTGCTCCCTCCTCCATCTGGACTTTGGGAGTCATCAGTCCCCATTACTGCTCTCCATCCCAGACCTCAAGGACCCTGATTGACTCCATGCCCCTTTCATACCCCAGATACTCCAGCAGCTTCTGTTCCTTATGGATCCCCAGTACCCTTGCTTGAGTATGCCCAGCAGCTCACCACCCCTCTGTGTCCTTTAGGAATCCCAGCAGCCCAGTACCTTGGGGATCCTGCTGACAATATCAGGGTACTTGGAGGTATTATTCTCTTGGTTGCGGCTGTAGATGTACACATCCCCATTCTCTAGTATGTGGATCTTGATAGCAGGAAGAGAAGCACAATGAGAGGCAGTGCAGTGCAAAGTTGGGGGAGAGGGAAGGCAGCTCCCCCATCCCACCCCAACATGTACCTGGGCTCGCTCCCCATCATACTTGTACTCGCAAGTGAAGGCAGCCTCCTCAAAGCGCTTCAGTACCTCCCCTATGCCCTTGGTGGGCTGGGCCAGCATGGGCTTCAGTGGGATCCCTGCAGAGCATAGATTGGGTTGTCAGAGCATCCAGGACACAGGCTGCAACACTGCCCAGAACACTAGCCCAAAGCAACTACATGCACCAGCACAGGAACCATTTCCACAGGTGGGTAGTCAAAATGGAAGATCAGGAGGGCAATAATCAGCCCAAAGCCCCAAGGAAGGCTGGGTAAAGACAGACAATACTAGGTGGGAACAGGAGCTCTGAAATTGGGAAACACCACTCCTGTTGACCACAGGACTCTGGCTCAGGGGCAATAGCATGCAGTACCTGGGGTGATCTTGCAGTACTGTGGCAGGCTCTCCATTCCATGCTCTAACAGGACAGGAACAATGATGTCATAGTTTGGCAGCTCACTGAAACACATGCATGCTGTTAAGCCTAGCATCAAGCACATTTGCGCCCAGGAGGGGGTGCTGTAACCTCAAACAGACCTTGCCCAGAGAAACTGGGGGCAGCTGGAACTGCAAGATGACTCTGCACTGCTACCTATAAATGGTCTTGTCACCCAAAGACTATTGCTCAACCTCCCAAAACCAGCCAATGCCACCGTTTGCATCATCTATAAATGGCACCAAACTCGGACAGACTGTTGGGGAGGCACCCTGCCAAGGGATGTCTCTTCCCTACCACCATCATCCCCCTCAACTTCAAGGCCTCTCTCTCTTAGAGCCACCCTGACTGCTGAGCTGTACGATAATTGCCCGAGTCATCTGAAGCTTCTCGGCTTGGGGGCACTCCTTTGGAGCTACAGAATACTATGTGTTGGGTCAAGAAGCCCCCTTCCCTGTCTTAGTCAACTGGTTACTGATGCATCCTTAAAGAGTAGGAACTACAAAACATGAGACAGTCCTGTACATGCATGCCAACAAGGAGACTCAGCCAAGGCTGCCACTTGGGAAAGGCATGTTTTCTCCAAAAGGAAGCAGCTGTCAAGCAAGCCCTGTGTTCAAGGTGGCACAGACTGAGAAAACTAACCCAGAGGAACCAGAGTCCTCTAAAGACCAATTTATCTGTGTGTACAGTTAACAAGCTGAAATATAGATGATTTAGAGTGCAGTGAAACACAAATCCCCAGAGACCATATTTGCTTGCAATGAATATGAAGACAACAACTGCATGCTGCAAAGGTCTCAGCATGTGGGAGGGGTGCTCAGCGCACAGTGCAGGAAGCAGTTTGTGAAAGCATCACACTCAACACAAAGTGACCAGGAAGCCCAAGGCTCTTCGTATGATCTCTGTATAAAGTGAAGCTCTGAACCCAAAGCATGGGTACAGATCTCCCCTGTTCCACAAGGACACCATATGTGAACATTAACTTCTGAGAAAAGTGGAGACTTGTAGGAGGGCTGCAGCAAACTCAGCGTGACAGAGGGAGAATGCTGCCCATTCTTCTGGGGAACTGACCAGTGAGATATTGGGGTGGAGTGGTGGCAGGTACAGACAGTTCAGGTGGAAATGATCTGTAGTCCTTCTGTCACTCAGCACACCTTCCCCAGGAAACAATGCCCAGGTGGAGCCCCCAGGCTCACAAGCACAGAAGTTGGTAAATCCCACTGGTGGTGATCTGGGAATTGGCCCTGCCTCAAGACTCACCAGAAGATCTGTTTGAGAATCTGGGCCTGCTCCTCCAGCCAGGTTTTGCGTACGTCTGCAGACTTGCCCTGGCTTGCATCCAGCACCTCTGGAGGGCAGCCTGCATGAAAAGCGCACAGTACCCAATCACTGCCTGCCCTCACACAGCCCAACAGGGGTGTTTGGGGGCCCTGCTCCATGGCCTTACTTTGTCCTGGGGGAGTGAGAGACACAGCATGAGCAATGGCTGACAACACTGACTGCTCTGCCAACCCGATCCGGAGCTTCCCGCTCAGTGATCTGGAACACAAGGAAAGGCACTGAGACCTCACAGGCCTGCGGGGGATGGGGGAGCAGTGGGAGTGGAAAAGGATCATCAGCTGAATTAGTAGAGCATTGCAGATTTGTGAAGTTGTGGGGGAACCCATGGCTTGGATAGCAGAGGGCTATAGGTCAAGAAAAGGGGCAGCAGCAGCACTGGGGGGAGCAGGGTTGAAATGGCTGGCAGAGGACAAGGACAGAGCTCTGGGATGGGCTGTAGGGGTCTGACAGTAAAGTAGGATTGCATGGCAATGGAAACAAAGTTATCCTTAGAGCCTAAACTGCAAAGGGGAAAGGTGACTTACCTAGCTACGTAGCGGGCTTCTGAGTGCCGACAGGCAACAAACAACCCCTTGATGATGTCAATCTTCTTGTTCATAGACTAGAGGAGAAAGAAAACCAATATGAGCCAGGCAGAGGTGGGGATCCCTGAGTATGTCATTGCCCAACGGAGATGTGATGAAGCACACACCAGCTGCCTCCAAGGCTGCAACCTGCCCAACCTTCTGGCTCCTGAACAGCCTCTGGCCTTGCCCTGCCCTGCCCTACTGCAGGTACATGCTGCAACCAGAATCCTTGGGGAAGACAAAATCATCAGTGGAACATGCATCCATCACCCTAGTCATTGCAGGAAACTGCAGGTTCATGCCCCAGGGTGCAGAGACCTCTACTGTCCTCAGAAGCCAGGCAGGAAGCAGCTATGCCAGCCCCAGAGCTAGAGGCCTTGGCAGTGCTGGGAGTACCCATGGCAGCCAGGAGAAATCTTTGCTCCCTCATGAAGGCCAACCTTCTTCCCAGGCCACTCAGACAGCTGGGGGTGGCAAGAAGCATAGAACACCCTGTGTCCCTACAGTCAAGCCAGCCACAGCCCCTGACAACAGGATGCAGGCACACAGCTGGGGCTCCCTCTCTCAGTACTCCACACCACTCACAGCACTGCCTGTCATCCTAGCGATTTCCTGGAACTTGTTAAAGACCCCAATGGCACTCAGCTTGGGTGGTGCGAACATAGTGCGTTGGTTGCTGCGGCTGCTCTCTGCCACCAGACCCAGGTCACCCTTCTCCTGGGCCTCAGCCTTGATCTTATCCAACTGTCGACCTGCAGACAAAAAGAGAGCCTGCTGAGCCAGTGACTCACCAGGTACTACCCAACAATCCACCCCGGGGCCCCTCAACTCTGTTATCCCTCTCCCATCCCCACTAATTCCCCATCTTTGTACAGGCTCCATAGGATCCCCACCCTGAGCTCCAGAGAAGACATGTTAACTACTGGACTAAGAGACCCTTTTCCCCAGGCCTCCTTGCTACTTGGGTAAGGGGCACCTTCCCCCCAAAGGCACCCAAAGTAGGCAGTACCCAGACACGTTACATGGAGGAGGAGGGGTGGGCTCTCATGCCTGAATAACTAAGCACTGCTATAAGGAAAGGTTGGGGGCACACCCAATCACATGTCCAGATTTGCAGCTTGGCCTACCTGCAGATCAATGCAACTGGAATCTGCTAGTCAGGTTAGGGCACCCTCAACCATTGTAGCTCCTGCCTTTGAGCTGTGGTCTCACACTGGGATCTCTCCTGCACCAGAGTCTTACTATCCACAACAACTGCACTGCCTAAGCATACCAGAGCATGTTGGGCTGATTTCCCAGAGTACACAGTGTGGAAAGGGAGCCTGAAACATGCGCACAGAGCACTGCCAACATAACATGGAGGCAGTGCAATCTGGGAAGGGCAGGCCACTGTCCAGATGGACAGAGACAGCTACATGCCAGCCTTGGCAGCACATCATGAATGCCATTGTAGCTCAGGGCATGATTCAGAGCCCCCAGGCCCATGACCAAACTAGAAGGTTGCAGGACAGACTGGACCTTGAGGCCAGGCACCTGTACCTGTAGCTTGTGCAACAGCTTTCATAAGGATGCTCTCGCCAATGCCCAGTTCTAGCCCCTCATAGGCTGGGCCCAAGTGGTTCAGGCAGAGGTAGATGCAGGGCAGCAGGTCACATGGGGACAAGGCGATGACCGATCGG